CGGATTGTAATCAGTTTGGATTGTTCCTCCTCTGAGGCACAAATAAAATGCAAATGGCTTTAGAATGAAAGGAAATGTTCTTTATGATGTACAGTGCTATTCAGAGCTGCAAATGGCTTGGAATAAATAGGAATTGTGAGGATTATGCGATGAATCTGCCTAGGAGAATCTAATATAAGTTTTGGTGTGGAAAAACCTCAGCTGCATTTGCCTATCAAGTGAACATTCTACCCATCAAGCAATAGAGCAAGGCTATTTAATAGTATTAATACCAAGCTCTTATCAGTAGATCTCAAAGCATGTTACAGAGGTGGTCTGTAGCATTATCCCCATTTTACAGGTGGGAGACAGAGGCATTGAGAGGGGAAATGACTTGCCCAAAGGCAACCAGCCAGTGGCTAAGCTGCAACAAGAACCCAGGTGTCCTAGCCCAGCCAGGGCCGGCTCCAGGCACCAGCGCAGGAAGCAGATGCTTGGGGCAGCCAATGGGCAGGGGCAGCACGTCCGGGTCTTCGGCGGCAATTCGGCGGCGGGTCCCTCAGTCCCTCTCGGAGGGAAGGACCTGTCGCCGAATTGCCGTTGAAGAATGAAGCGACGCGGTGGAGCTGCCACCGAAGTGCCGCCGATCGCGATTGCGGCTTTTTTTTTTTCCCCCCCACGGCTTGGGGCGGCAAAAACCCTGGAGCCGGCCCTGAGCCCAGCACACTGTCCACTAGGTCACACCTTTAATAAGGAAAGCATGAGTGTTTGGTTTAGAAAAAAACACTTTGCAAATTGTTATGGTGGATGAAATAACTATTTTACACTAGAACCTCACCAGCAACAACCTCTCCCCCGGCTAGACATGAGCAAGCCCTAGTTTATAAGATACATGGCCTATGAGACCGTCTTGCTTTTGAGCTTGTCCCCAGTGCCGCTGCCGCACGGAGGCCAGTCATATTGCAAACACCGCGCCTGGGGATGGCCTTCTGATGTACCACACCTGTCCCTTTGGAAGGGCTGTGTGTTGTCTATCCAGTGGCTAGGGCGCTGGACAGCTCCTCGGGAGACCCATGCTCTGTTCCTGGCAGTGCCACTGACCGGCTGTGTGTCTGCGGGCGAGGTGAACAGCTCTCTGCTGGCTCGGAGAACCCAGCGCTGAGCACTGCAACAGCTTTCCCAGCCGCTTGTGTGGAGAGAACGAAGCAGGCCCCTGGTTTTGCCGCAGCTCTGAGTGGCTGCCCTTCCCCAGGAGGTGGCATAAAGCAGTCAGATGCGGATTTAGGCAATGGGGTTTTCCCCACAGCTCAATAGGTGGGAAGGGCTCGAGACCAAAAGTAGGACAGGAATCCTGTGTCTCCCAACAAACAGAGGGCAAGGGTGAGGCTGCAGGCAGCAGGTGTTCGCCTGGGTATTGGGAATGCATGTAGCTCAGCTGGTAGATGGTGCAGATATTGTATGGTGCAAGCAAACAAGAATACATGGTAATTCGATGCAGTGGGTAAATCAAATGACCGGTGAGGCTGGGTGGGTGGGAATCAGGCAATATCCCCCTGGTAAAATAGCACAGCAAAGCCATAAAGGAAAATAAACCCCAGTTAGCTCCTGTCAGCCCTGGGGTGCAGGGAAGATTCAAAGTGGAGCTCTAGAAGCAGCCACAGGCTTAGGTAGTTTTGTAGGGGGGGAGCTGGATAGAGCCCCTGGCAGCTTCTTTCAAATCCTAATTCTGCTGCCCTGGTCGCTGTAACGGGGAGCGGGGAAGAACCACTACATTAGTATCCCAGTAATGGGAAAGAGAAGACAATAGGCAGCATTCTCTCTGCTTTGGGTGAAAGCTAAAGTGACCACAGTATATGCAAGTTTTACTCACAGTCCCAGGTTCATATGATGTACGAGCATCCCCGGAATTTATTGCAGGCTGCCTAACACGTCCTGCTTTTTCATTTCACTGGTGAAAACGTTTGGGGTTTTCTTGTTTTGTTCAAGACCTAGTGCTATCCTGGCTAAAAATTGCTGCGTGCCTACCAGGAACAGCCAATCCAATGGCATGAGTTCTTCACGGTGCGGAATGAAGAGAGAAGTCAGTCCAATGAACATAGACACTATCAGAGCTGTTGTTTTGCTCAAACTGAATGTTAATGACACCTGTTTGATGTTGTGCCAGAAACTCATTCACCTCTGCGTCTTCTCTCGTGCTGTCCCTCATGTAACCAGGGCACCTGTAAATATCCACAAAGTCGTCTTCAAATCCCTCCTTAAAATCTCCTCTGGGGCGATGCCTTCAAGAAACTTGTCAGTGCTTAGGCAGTTGGGGTGCTGAGACCAACAGTTTCCATGCTGACCAGTAACATTTCATTAGTTCCTTTCGCTCCCCCATTTGCTTGTTGCATTCACCCATTGTCTTACACTTTGTAAGCTCTTTGGGGCAGAGACAGATTTTTTTGTTTGTTTGTACAGGGCCTAACACAAAGAGGCCCTGGTCTCTAGGCACTACTGGAATACAATTTCATTACTATTAGGATTATAACATTGAATGAATAGGAAAAAAAATCCTCCACTCTGAGAATATGCCTGTATCAGCTCACAGGGTGGCACTAGTGACCTTTTTCAATAGGTATTTTATGACCCTAATAAATGCAGTCACAAAAGTGTCCTTTTTTATTTGGAAATTATGGTTTCTAACCTTAGGTCCCGATCCAGCAAACTTCATGTGCTTAACTTTATTCATAATCCTGTTTACGTCAGCGGGAGCACTCACGTGAACAAGGTCACAAGCCGGACTGTAGGATTTGGTGCCTTTGTTTGTTCTTTTTTTAATGAGGAATTAGCCTAGTGTTTTGGCCTAAGAGCTGACAGCTACAACTCTGTTTTAGGAAATAATGATGGGTGAGGTCAAGTGACCCATCACATCGCCAGTTTGGTGTGATCTAAGCAGTGTTTGATCATGCATGCGGTACACACAGGGTGGGATGTCCAGAAGAGCTCCGCATTGACTTAACGTGGCTCCCATTGAAGTCAAAGGTAATGGCATTGGTGTCCGTGGGGGAAGAGTTAGGCCAATGTGCTTTAGAAAAATCACACCCACAATGCACCCAGCTTTTCCCCTTGTCCCCATTTGAAGGCACTTTGGGTTTTTAGCAGTGTGGGGCTTTGGCCTTGTCTATGCAGGCGGCAGCATGTAGGGTATGTATAGCTACACCCCACAGCAAAAAGCAGGCTGTGTCCACACTGCGATGTGTAGCTACATGTGGTAGCGAAAGGCTTCGGGAGCGGGGAGTCCCACGGGGCGCATAGACCCTATGAGGGCCTGGCAACCAAGGAGTTAATGCAGGTACTGCCGGCCCATGCTTTTTGGCAGCCTCGCAGCAGCTGGAGAATAAAGGAATTGAGAAGCCGAGGGGCCAGGGCAGCTGCCCGCGGAGCAAGCAGGCCAGAGAAAGACGGTCCTGCCAGCAGACTGGTGCGAAGCTGCCCTACGGCGACGACCACACGAAGAAGGGACGATCTGGCTGCAGAAGTCTACAGCACCAAGGGAGGAGCGGAGGGTACAAATTCTGCCTGCCTGGGCTGTGGGCCATGAGCTGCAACCCAGTGGTGGGGGGAGGGCTGGAATTTCCCCACCGCTCCCTTAACAGAGATTTTTAGAGTCAAAGGAGGGGCCAGGCCCCTTAAGGACAAGGACCAGTGAACCCCCTCCCCAAACATCAGGGGAGGTCCGTACACCACAGTGAGATTAACTTCCTTGCCTCCAGAATAGGTCTATAGAGACTCAGCTGAGAAGAGCAGACTGACTACCCCACCAATCTGAGTAGATTCTGTCTGACGCCCTGTCTGACCAAAGAGAGGCGCTGATGCCCTGGGTCACCACCCCACTTGGAGGCAGTGAGGACAGGCTCTGGCAGCAGGAAGCTGCTAGATCCTTTCACTATTCCCTCTGCCTTTCCAGAGCCCTTTCCTGCAGCAGTAGGGAGCCCGCGGGACACTACACTGCTAAAAATGGCAGTGTTGAGGCAAGAGGCACTGTTTGGGTGTGCAGAGAGCCGGATAGGGTACATACCCTACGCATGTTTCTACTCTGCTCATCGAAGCAGTTCCCCATCACCTACACTGCTATTTATACCCACGCGGGGGGATAAGCAGTGTATGTACTCCCCGCAGTGCCAAAAGTGTTGGCATAACCTTTGTAAAAAAAAATCCAACAGCCTCCCCCATCCCCCGCCACAGAACCCAACAACCCAGCATTTCACTGCAGAATGTGACGCCAAAGGGGAACTTCTTATTAGAAATTTGAATCTTCCTATACTTTCTATTTCTATTTAATATTTTATTAAATGACTGTATTTTGACTTCTTTGATTGCATGCTCTGGGCCTGATCCAACAGCCCACGACTGTCAATGGGAGTCTTTCAATTGACTTCAAGAGGTTTTGGATCAGAACTTGCTAGGGAGGTGGTGGAGTCTCCTTCCTTGGAGGTTTTTAAGGCCCGGCTTGACAAAGCCCTGGCTGGGATGATTTAGCTGGGAATTGGTCCTGCTTTGAGCAGGGGGTTGGACTAGATGACCTCTTGAGGTCCCTTCCAACTCTGATATTCTATGATTCTATGATTCTGAAATGCCTGCAAGCTGCATGGTAACTTTGAAAAAAACCCACCATTCTAGAGGTTCAAATGACACGAGTACCCCAAATGAAAACAAACAAACACAAAAGTGAGACGACCCTGGCTAAACAGAGTAAAAGAGGCTATGAGAGACAGACATCTTTCAAAAATTGGAAGTCGACTGCTCCTGAGAAAATAGAAAGACGCATGAACTCTGGTGCATGAACTCAAGTGTAAATGTCTAATTTTAAACAGAACAAAAAAGAGTTTGAAGAGCAACCAGCAAAAGACACAAACTAACAGACATTTTTTAAAGTACATCAGATGCAGGAAGCCGAGACACTGGACTATCAAGTTGCTAAAGGAGCACCGAGGGAAAACAAGGCCATTGCCGAGAAGCTAAATGAATTCTTTGTATTCGTCTTTACTGCAGAGGATGTGAGGGAGATTCTTGCATCTCAGCTATTCTTTTGAGGTGATAGTTCTGAGGAACTGTCCAAGACTGAGGTGTCTATAGAGGTGGTTTCAGAATAAATTGATAAATTAAACAGTGATAAGTATCAGAGGGGTAGCTGTGTTAGTCTGGATCTGTAAAAAGCAACAGAGGGTCCTGTGGCACCTTTAAGACTAACAGATGTTTTGGAGCATAAGCTTTCGTGGGTGATAAGTGATAAGTCACCCAGGACCAGGTGGTATCACCCAAGAGTTCTGAAGGGACTCAAATATGAAATTGCAGCACTGCTACCTGTGGTATGTAACCTACTGTTTAAATCAGCCTCTGTACCAGAGACTGGAGGATAGCTAATATAACAGTGATTTTTTTTAAAAGCTCCAGCGGCGATCCTGGCAATTACAGGCCTGTAAGTCTATCCTCAGAACCAGGCAAAATTGGTTGAAACTATAGTGAAGAACAGAATTATCAGACACATGGATGAAAATGATATGTTGGGAGAACAGTCAATGTGACTTTTTAAAGGGAAACCTTGACTCACCAATCTATTAGACATCTTTGAGGGGGTCAACAAATGTGTGACACAGTGGATATAGTGTACGTGGACTTTCAGAAAGCCTTTGACAAGGTTCCTCACCAAAGGCCCTTAAGCAAAGTAAGCAGTCATGTGATAAGAGGGAAGAGCTGCTCATGTTTAAAAGACAGGAAACAAAGGGTAGGAATAAATGGTCTGTATATACAGGGCCCCTCAAGGATCTGTACTGGGACCAGTGCTGTTCAACACACATTCGTAAATGATCTGGAAAAAGTAACCAGTGAGGTGGCAAAGTTTGCAGATGAGACAAAACTACTCAAGATAGTTAAGTCCAAAGCAGACTGTGAAGAGTTACAAAGGGATCTCACAAAACTGGGTAACTGAGCAACACAATAGCAGATTAAATTCAGTATTGATAACTGCAAAGTAATGTACATTGGAAAACATAATCCCAACTATACATACAAAATGATGGGGTCTAAATTAGCTGTTACCACTCCAGAAAGATCTTGCAATCATCATGGATAGTTCTCTGAAAACAGCTGCTCAATGTGCAGTGGCAGTCAAAAAAGCTAACAGAATATTAGGCACCATTAGGAAAGGTATAGATAGTCAGATAGAAAATATCATAATGCCACCATATAAATCCCAAACCTTGAATACTATGTGCAGTCTTGTCACCCAATGTCAAAAGAGATATTTAGAACTGGAAAAAGTACAGAGAAGGGCAACAAAATTGATTTGGGGCTCCCTATAAATTAAAAAAAACCCTGGGATTGTTCAGCTTGGAAAAGAGCTGACTAAGGAGGAATGTGATAGAGATCTATAAAATCATGAATACTGTGGAGAAAGTATTCAAGGAAATGTTCTTTACACTTTCACATAACACAAGAACCAGGTGCCACCCACCGAAATTAATAGGCAATAGGTTTAAAATAACATAAGAAACTACTCCTTCACACAACACAAGGCCAACCAGTGGAACTCATTGCCAGGTGATGTTTCGAAGGCCAAAAGTATAACTGGGTTAAAAAAAAATAGAGATATTCATGGAGGATAAGGTCCATCAATGGCTATTAGCCAAGGTGATCAGGGATGCAACCCAACCATCTGACTGCTAGGAGCTAGGACGGGATGACCAGGGATTGATCACTTGACAATTGCTCTGTTCTGTTTATTCCCTCCGAAGTATCTGACACCGGCTGCTGTTGGAAGGAAGGATACTGGGCTAGATGGACCTCTGTCCTGACCTATTGTGGCTGTTACGTTAACTTAAGGGCCAGATTTCCCAAAGAGCCCAGCATCAACATTCACTGTAGTGAGTTCTGAGGATTGTTTCCCCTCCCCCGCCCCCCAAAAGCACTCAGTGTTGGCCTACCATGGCTGTCACTGCAGTCAATGGCTGTTTTCACATTGACTTCAATGGGAGCAGAGTTACGTCAGCGCTGAATGGTTTTATAAATCACATGGTAGGGGTGAAATCCTGGTTCCATTGAAGTCAGTGGGAGCTTTGTCATTAACTTCAGAGGAGGCAGGATTTCACTCTAGGTGTCTAGCACAGTGAAGCTGCTATCTAGAGTAAAGCCTTTGGAAGCTACAACAGTATAAAATAGAAACACTAATAATAACCAAACAAAATCTTTAAAGGTGATGGAGCTATGGATACCTGTAAACCGTGTTGTAAATCATATTATTGTTTTACATTTTCTACCAAGGGAGACCATTTTCACTCATTTAAAATAACAGTATATAAAACAGCATCTCTGTTGTGCTTCCTGGTATGGCGTAGCCAATTGTTCAGTCGAACAAAGTGTATCCTGGAGATTTAAGAAATAGAAACTGCATAATTATGGAATTGATACTGACTGCACACAGAAGAGGCTCTCTTCACGTTGCACGGGCAGGATCTGTGACATACGGTGAAATGGGAAGAAATGTGTGTTTAGAAAAGAGCTAGGGCAGCTATGAACCAAATTAAACTATTAATGGTTGGGAAGCCGGGAAGAAAGGCTGTCTGTCAACCTAGGGCAAGCCAGGGCTCTGAAGTGTAACCAAGTCCCACCTCTGACCTGCAAAGTCATCAGTCTATCAGCACGACCCCAGCCCTGTTCTTCATGGGCTGCTTTTAATGGGTTTTTTAAAACACACCTTTGACCTCATCTGAACATTCCACGCCGCCCCCGTTTGCTGCCCTCATTTTGCCCTTCAGAACCTTGTTTTGTCGTGTCCCGGTCTCCACTAGAGAGACATCTTAGCGCAGCCATTCCTTAGTGCAGTTATATTTGCTGATGGGCCATTTTAACAAGGGGCTTTGTTAAAACGAAGTTCTTTCGTGTATAGTAGGTACAGCACACTTGCATATTACCACTCTAGAACAAGCCTTCCTCCTTCTAATATATTTCCTCACATTATACAATGTGTGTTTAATGTGGCACCCACAACACAATAGGGAACTCTCCTGACACTCAAGAAAGGATGGTCCCTGCTTTGAAGTGCTCACACGCTAAGGGCTAGAGATAGTTGGGAATTTTCTGTCTCCTATAGGGTGGCTTGCCCGGTGGGCTGGAGAGCCTGTGACTAAGCTGGCCCTGACGACAGGATGAGCCCCCCCTTGAGAGGAATCAGGTGGTTCCAATATAAAAAGAGTCGGGTTAATCACTGATGGGGGATAGAGCCAGGCAGGGATCAAGAAGGCTCTTGCAGGGCCCTGAGTCTCTAGGGAAAACTCAGAGCAAGAGAGTGAGTAAGAGAACCATGTCTCTTGGATGGTTTAGACACGACAAGTCCTACATCTTGGCAAGGGGTTAGACTAGATGATCCTTGCAGTCCCGTCTAACCCCTAGGATTCTAAGGAAAGCTCTCCAGGCAGGGAGAGACCCTGATCAAACAGGAGAGAGACTGGGAAATCCAGACAGGAAATAAAGAGCTGAGGTACGAAGTGGTCCAGGAAACGCTGAAATATGGGTAAAGGAGCAGACCTAGCTGTGCAGTACGGGGCCCTGGTCTGGAATCCAGATTAGAGGGTGAGATTGGGTTCTGCTACTGCCCCGAGGAGGGGGCATACAAGCCCTCCCTAATGGTTGTTGAGTCCTGCCAGGGGGTAGCAGATTGAGTAGAGGATTGGTGGAGGAAGAGCCCCAGAGAGGGAGGAAGGATTTGTGTTTCTGTTAAAGGCAGTTTGGGACTTCTGTTCTGGACAACTGTGACCTCTGAAGGTGTGGACAAAAGACTGTGACCTCGCTGGAGGGCTGAGTTACTGTCAGAGAAACCTCCAAAAGGCCCAAATGACCACTGGTAAGGGAGAGAGCTGCAATGCCATGCCCAGCCACAAGGGGATGGCTAGTGGTGAAAGGACTCTGTTACCCTGTCCGAGTGTCTTTTCTCAATGGAAAATCCAATTTCTGTAAATTGGAATTTTTTCTGTGTTGCCAAACTTTTTTGAATGCCCATTGGGAAAATCTAACAGAAATGTTTATTTTTGGGTAGGGTCATCCCCCTAACTGAAATACTTTGTTTTGTCATGCTGAATCGAAACCTTTAGTTGTGGGTCAGTTTGGCAGCTATCTGATTCTGCCTAAGCCACTGCCATGATCCATGGGAATTGAAGTCTGGGTACCACATGCCTCTGTGGACTGGGATCCCTAGATGAACTACATCTCCAATGATGCACTTAGGTCTCTCCTCTGGTAGAACTAGCACAGTGCATGACAGGGAGTGTCATGACCATCATGCATTATGGGACCTTTAGACTAATCAGGGGGCCAGGTAACTGAACTACAAGTCACATGAAACACCGGGGTAGCTCAGGCAGATACAGTTCAGTGTCAAATCAAGGTGAAAAAAAACCACCAACGTTTCTGCGTTTCCAAATCTACATTTCCTGAAAGTTCTGTGAACATGTTTGATATTTTGACTTTGCACCCCAAATTGGGATAAAAACAAATGTTGAAATATTGGAATTTTCTATGGTACAGAAGTTCTGAAGTTTGTTCAGCTCTGTTAAAGGACAAACACAAATAGACAGATTAGTACTGAGGAGAACAAGAAAAATCACTTTATGTGCAATTCACTGTAGGCTACTTGACAGAAGTACACTTTTAAGAGGACTTAAATATGGAGACTTGTCTGACTTTTTCTATGAAAATCTATGTTTTGTGTTTTCAAGAGGTTAGGCTAGACAATCATAATGGTCCCTTCTGGCCTTAAACTCTATTGGTGAAATCCTGGCGCCATTGAAATCAATGGGAGGTTTGTATTGACTTCAATGTGGTCAGGATTTCTTCCGGTGACTATGTTTTCAAGAGCACTTTGGTTTGTTGGGAACTATTGATTTGATTGGATTTGGCCTCACTTAGTTTTAATCCACTCCTGGGTATAAAACATAAAGTTGAGAGGTCTATACAGGAATGTGTGGTGAAGAAATTAAAACAGACCTCAAGGAGCTGGTCCTCAGCTGGTGCAAAATAAAGTCAATGGAACTATGTTGAATTACACCAGCAGAAGATCTATCCGAGAGAATATTTTTTCCAAGAGACGTGCCAATGTCCCAGACAGTCAGCAGCACAAGCAGAGAAACCATGCTGTCTGCATGAGATCAGATAGCTGGCTGTTTTAAAGGAGAGTGTCTTCATCGATATTTCCCTTTAATTGTTTTTGCGTGTATCTTGTGCTTCTCACAAATCAATACACAAGGGGCGGGACCCATCTATGTCACAATCCATAAACAGTTTTTACGAACAAAGACTAGAACATATAAAGTGTCCAGCATTGCTAGACTCTTTATCTACATTGCTAGGAAGCAGCCAAACTGCCTTTTGGTATTGTAATGCACTTCCTCTAATCATTTGTTCTCTCTGCTTCTCCCTTGGATATGTTTCTATGTCACTCAGGAGTCACATCAATAATGTCAAGATACATCAAATCACAGTGCAGCTATTAAGAATAAGTGTGCTAAGAAGCCACTCAGGCTTCAATTAGGCAAGCAATTAGTAATAAGTTTGGGGCACCATCAGCAGAACATTGGTGGGGTTTTGTTCTTTTTGTAGGAGTGACAATTTGTGAAGCATAAACAGGCAGTATAAAGAAAGTGATAGAGCAATAAGAATGCGTGGCCTGGCTTTCATTGATAATACTTGAATGAGCAGAGGTCCCCTCGGTTGAGCAAAGACAGCAGCAAAAGGTGTTTCTTTCTTAGATCTTCATTTGCTCATCTCCTTGCTAAGAGTTTTCGGAGGGGTAGCCGTGTTAGTCTGTATCAGCAAAACAAACAAACAAACAAACAAACAAAAAACGAGGAGTCCTTGTGGCACCTTAGAGACTAACAAATTTACTTGGGCATTAGCTTTCATGGTCTAGAACCCACATCAAATGAAGTGGGCTGTAGCCCACAAAAGCTTATGCCCAAATAAATTTGTTAGTCTCTAAGGAGCCACAAGGACTCCTTGGTTTTTTTCCCCCTTGCTATGAGTTTACTATTTAAAGCAATTGAAGCAATAAGCAATAGGCTTAAGTGGTCACACTCCACTGAGACTGAAGCTGGTCAGAAAATTTTAGTTGACACTGATTCTCAATGAAAAATACCGTTTTTTGGTGAAAATCAAAACATTTAGAAAAAATGTCAATAATTAAAATTTTGGTCAAAACACTTATTTCAGGGAGTGGGGTTGAATTTGTCAAAGTATCCTGTTTGAGTGTTTGGGAATATCATAATTCAAATTTTCATATCAAAATGACTTTTAAAGAAGTAGTGTGAATATAAAAAAATAAAAAATATCAAAATCAGGAATGAAATGTTTTGATTTTTATCAAAAATGAGTTTTTAATGTTTGTTTTGCTAGACATTTCCATTTATTTTGTCTTCTTCCATTTTGAATTCGCAGAATTTCCCACAAGATGGAAAATCTGATTCCCATCCAGCTCAAACAGAGACATTATCTTGAGTCTAACTTGGTGTAACTACTTGAGCAGCTTGATCCATATTTATTGAATAGGAAATTTAGTGTCTTTGGAGGGGTTTCCAACATTGCAATTAGTTGGTGGCCCAGTCCTGGTTTCTGCCATTCAGTATGCAGAAATATTTCAGATGGTAAAACCACTCCTCACGCTGGTCAGCAGGAACATCCAAGCCCCATTTATTTCAACAGCGGGGTAAGTCGGTGTAGCTGAATTTGCGTATCTTAAATCGACCCCCCTCCTGTAGTGAAGACCTGCCCTCAGTCTGGAAGCAACAAAATCAGAGACAGCTTTATTCAAGCATTTGCAAGTGAAGAATACAGCTGGCAGAGAGCATCTCTGCCTCAGTTTCTCCAAAGTACAAGCAAAATCACACAAGCATTTATACCTCTTTGTGACGTGCATTAATTAAAAACATCTGCATTTTATTTAGGCTATTTGCTATCTATTCCAGTATTTTCTCACTTTCTCTTCTCAAAACATTGTTATCTCAAGGCTAGGTCACGCTGACTGTTCTGTTGTTTTCTACTCGCTTCTGATGTGAGCCCTGCTTCTACAAGTCTCGCGATATTAGGCTAAGACTTAGCTCAACAGTTGCTCTGTCTCTGACACTTAAATGGCTGCACTCAAACCCTCTCTTTCTTTCCCTGCTTCCACAGGGAGGATGACCTTGTGGTTAAGGACCCGGATGGCGACTCAAGAAACCTGACTTCTATTCTTGGCTCTGCAAAAGTCTTCTTGGATGGTATGGACAAGTCACTTAGTCTCTCTGTTTTTCACACCCCTATTTGGGAAAAGAATGAAATAATAGTATTCCCTTTGTCGGTTTTATCAATTTACATTGCAAGCTTTTTGTGTATGTAGAGTGTCAAGCATAACGGGGCCCCAATGTCTCTGGGGGCTTTAGGTGCTACTGTATTACAATCAGTGCTATAAAAGTAATTCGGGGAGTAACTACCAATGTAAGTAAGGAGTTTACAGTATGTCCCTTGATGAATATCTCAGGTAAACAATTGGCATCCTACCCATTGTTTGTTTGCAAAGATGGTAAAGTCTGTATGCGAGCTTACCAGTTCGTCTCCCAAGTCACATGGTCTTGTGGCTTGTCCCTGACTGGATGACTTAAACTTTAACAGGAGACTAGTGAAAGAATAGCAAAGATTAAATAATGCACATCCAGTAGAAATTCATGAGACTTTGCTGGTCTGTGAATAATTCGGCCACCTATCTATTTGTGACTAATGAACGGCAGGATCCCAGGTATACCGGTCCATTAAATTGGAGCTGTTTGTTCATGAACCTGTGCTTTCTTTATAGGCCTGATGCTTTGTGCATTGCAGTCAATGTCCAAACTCCCACTGAGCTCAATGGTGTAGAACCTGGTCCTATTTGATGAGTTCTAGTAACTATTTGCTACCCAGCAGATTATCAATAATGGGTATTGCGAAGTCCTTCTGCAGCTGGGCAGTAGTTACGGTGGCGCAAACTCTATGCAAGTGTAACTTGTGGAAGTCAGTGGTGTTATGCCAACTGAAAACATGGTCCTGTACATATCCTGAAGCGTTCAACACTGGTTTTTGGAAATCCCCTGCCCTCACCTCCTGTATTTTGTACTATGGGTTTTTTAATGAATCCCTGCTAAAACTGAGGATTAGCATCACAATAGACATCAGGCCAATAATCATATGCTTGGTGGGTTAACAAGCCTTGGAAACAAATTGTCAGAGGTGAAGTATGTGCTAAAAGTAACCTGAGCGGTTAACCCAGTCTCGTTCTCATCATAGCAATTTCAGTGGGGGCAAAGCAACATTAATTGTGTGTCCAGGAAGGTGGGAGGCCTCTAGTCCTTGCTTAGTCTGTGTCTGAAATAAGCTAATCTGAGATCAATGCACATGCAGTAGATTGTGTTGCAGTGTCTATAACAGTTAAATCAGACTAGATTCGGCACTCTCTCAGCGAACAGAATCCGTGGGAGGTGAATACATTGCATATGTTACCCGCGCTTCCTTCAGGTCCATGCTGTTTAGACACACACAGGTTTGCTATTGCTCAGTCTAACTCTCCCTGACACTTGCTCATTCGCCAATGGGGTTTATGAGATTAAGGGCCTCATCTCTACTTGTCTGTCACAATATTTCCCGATCAGCTGCATGGTGTGGACAATTCCAAAGGGGTTGAACAATAATTATGTATAAGTGACGGGTGTAGATGGCCCAAATGCTTAATGCCTCCTCTGTATTCCATTTGCCTGCTGCCTATCCCATGCCGCATGGATTAGTTTGCTATGGTCTACCGATGCCTTTCTATCCAGACAAAACATCCCCGCAGGAGAAAGGGATCAAATACCTTTGTTCCATGACAGGCCAGAGGACCTGGCCACAGAATTCTTATTCATTCTTTTTCTTTATAAACATCTGTGAAATCTGTTTAATAATTGTCTTTGCCATTGCGGGGAAAGGTTATTGGATAGCTTATTAACTGCCAGTGGCCTCTTTCTGGTACATGTGTTTCTAATGGGAAGCAGAGTTGGATTTTCAAAAGAACCTAAGAGTACGGTGTCTACACTGCAGCAGGGGAAATTTTCAAAAGCATCAAAGTGATTTAAGAGCACAAGTCACTTGTGCTTTTGACACTTTTTCTTAGTGAGAACGGATAGTTGTGAGGGATGTAGAGGTGCTTGGTAAGGGTTACTGATCTGTGCTGGCGTTGCTGCAGTCGTTAATGCTGCTAACGCGGCTGTTCTCGGGGCTCGCAGAGAGTGCCGCTGGCTGACTCAGCAGACCTCAATGTTGTTCATAAAGGGAGACCACAGGCTCGGTTTGGTGGCGACGGCGCTCGGCCCTAGTGCCTATAGGAGCGACAGGTACATTAACAAGTGTATGCCTGTAACAGTACCGTTCAATCAACATTACCATGATGCTGTCCCCTAGACCAGTACAAAGATGCCCCTCCTCTGACTTCTCCTTTTTATACATTGACACAACCTAGTTACTGGTTACACTCCAGATGTTATTAGTTACCACCCTTATACCTTGTTTGAACAAAACATCCTTATCCATTATCCTGTCATCTCCTCCTTATTTTTACGAGGGGTCGGTGTGTTCCTGTGCCATCTCTTCGGAATGCGTTTATGTAGTTACTTGAGATCTGCGTGGTTTTGTACCATCCTCTTCAGCCAGGAATTTACTTACTTAATTAGCGGACACCTAATGTGTTACTATTCTGCCAAGGACAGGCCTACTCTGGTTTACAGCCTTTGGTTCACACTGCTAGCTATGCTTAGGGCCCCAGCAAGGCCTACAATCTGGACTATGAGAGGTGAGCAAACAGTTGCAACACAGGTAGGTACTGTCACAAGGCCACTGATTGTGAGCCAATAAGGCTGAATGGGTCTGGCTGCCTGAACAATAGAGCAACCATCATGGAGACATTCCCCAAGATG